AAATCGGGCCGCGCGCGGGCTGGAATCGGGCCTGGCGGCCCGCGCGCGCTTGGGCTCCTTACAATAAAAAAAAAATGGTTCAAACGCAAGGGCTGGGGTTCGAACTCCTGACCGTGCGCAAAAACAAGCATAATACTTACCACCGCGCCACTCAATCTTTCGATACTTATTCAGCAAATATTAACAAATGAATCTCTAACAAGACCTGCTATTTGGACAGAACAAAAACGAACAGAGGCTGAAAGAATGAACAGAACTGGTATCTGCTAACAAGCCGGCAATTATTTGACCGAAAACGACGACGAGATATCTAACGGCAACCGGATCAAGACGTACACGTTTTCAGAGTTTTGCAAATATATTTTGAAACCGGGCTTAAAAGGGTTTTACAACACAATGACAAAAATAATACAAAACAAACAACGGGGGTACGAACGATCCAATCAACAAGACGACGGCTCAAAACGACAAAACGAGACACCGAAATCACACGAAATCATCACAGCAGCATCGAGACTGAATTAATACGACAAACGAGAGTTCCGATAATCCACGAAAATTCACGAATATACGAATCATACGTACGAACATATGAATCAACAAATAACAACAAACAAGGTTCCGATTTCAAATAAAGTTTCGGTAAACCGAACACATCATAAATATAACGTATGATATTTGAAATCGATCGTAATAACGAGAGGTTTCGAATAAGTTACCCGACTTCGGAAAACTACGAGTTATCGGACGGGAAACGGGTCCGATAGCGGGTCGTACGAACGGCTTTGAAAACTTGAAAGCTCAAACACGGGTTTGAGGCTGAAACCCGATGAGATGCTCGCGAACTTGGACTGCTGCGCGTAGACGATTGCGGGGCGGCTCGGAGTTCGACCGGAGATGGACCTTCTTGCCGGAATTAATGGCGATTGAAGCCTCTGCTTGCTTTTCAAGACGGTCTGTTGCGGGCCACGCGCGTGACGATTCGCTGTTGCTCCTATGTCGGCGACGGCGGAAAGTCTGTAAGTGGACGACGGGAATGGGATTCTCACCGGAGAAGAAAGCTTCAGGCGGAGGAGACTTTTTTTTTTTTTTTT